AGGAAGCTGTACAGCTTGGTCCCTCCACCAGAGCAACTGTGGAGTTGGAAGGAGAGACTGGAATAAACTATTTCAGAGCTCTTGGAATCCAATCAGTCCTTATAACAACTAGGGGAGTGCTGGGTGAAGACAGAGGCTGCTGTGCTTCGGAGGAGAGAATGTGTGCAAACTGGCTGCCGTCCTGCATTCCTCAGCCCTGCTGCGGGTGTGGGGAAAACAGCCCACGTTCCTGGAGTGGGTGGCTAGTGCCAGGGCACGGGGTGCGGACCTTTCCTGCTAAAGTTTGGGCTTAGTATGCTGTGGTGAGTTTGGCAGTGCCCACAGGCCTGACACAGATGCTGACCTACGTTCTGGCCCTCTCGGCCTTAAGCAGCATCTACTGGGAGATTTACAGGGCCAGTAGTCTGGTTTTTTTTGGAGTCAGACGTTTAGGAAAATCTTTGTCAGATCACTAGCTGATCACAGAGATAACAGAACAGAGGTTTCAGAAACTTGAGTAACCACACACAAGGAATACACACTTTGCAAAAATAGTTTGGAAAAGTCACACACTGGCAGCTCCAGCCTCCAACAAGGAAACATCAGCAATCCCTGAGGAATGGGGAAATCAGATTTCTGGAGTTACCATATCTATTTTCAAAGAAATAAAAGTTTTAAACATCTAACTGACGTAAGGAATTAGTCATGACTTAAGGAATGTTTAATGAATTAATTTGTTAAAAACTAAAATTGTATATTAATGTATAAAATTACACTTTATAAATAGTGTAATTTAAAACTATACAACTCAGAATTCATGACCTTTCCTTATAACCACGTTCAACACTCTTAATTACTCTATCTTTTCCTGTAAATAGCACCTCTCAGTGTTCAGCCTCACAAGCTATTAAAGCAAGGTGCATTTTTATATATTAAACTAACAAAAAGAAAAATCTGTGTGGGTGAGATTATGGCAAAAAAGTGTTTCACTCATGCATTACTGTCAATTTCTATAATATATTCATGTTTATTTTCATATAAAATTAGTGTCTCCAAATGCTTATCAAGTAAAATTGATGCTGCAGACACTCCCCGTGCACCATGTGGAGCAGGCGTCCTCACTGGGAAGGCATGTGACTGTGCAGCATTAGAAGTATTAAAATAATCAGTATGCAATCTTGATTATAACATCAGATGTTGCAGGTTTGGCCACATTTGAGGAGCTAGAAAATTGTCTTACCCTTTGACTCAGTAATCTCACACTTAAAGAGTGAGGGAGATTTGGAGGAAATAACCCATGGAAGCAACTGCATAACCTCAAAACGTGACCTTTGGAAATAGGTTAATTGCAGATACATTAGTTAAGTTAAGATGAGGTTATAATGCAGTAGGGTGAGCTCCTAATCCACTGTGACTGATGTCCTCATATGAAGACGGCCACGTAAAGACAGGCGCAGGGAGAAGGCCTTGTGAAGACGGAGGATGGCAGTGATGCATCTGTGAGCTGAGGAATGCCACAGATTACTGCAAACCCCCGGAAGCTAGGACGAAGCAAGGATTCTTCCAGTTTCTGAGGGAATATGGCCTTGCCAACACCTTGATTTTGGACTTCTAGCCTCCAGAACTGTGTGAGACAATAAATTGCTATTGTTTTAAGCTATTTAATTTGTAGTACTTTGATATGGTAGCCCAAGGAAACTAATGCAGTGGTCAACTGATTCTCCACAACAGTGCCAAGACCAGGCAGTGGGAAAAGAACAGTCTTTTCAAGAAATGAAGCTGGGAAAAGTGGATAGCTGCATGCAAAAGAATGAAGTTGGACCCTTACCTTAGACCTATACAAAAATTAAAAAATAAAGTGAAGACTAAATTTAAAAGATAAAACTATAAAACTCTTAGAAGAAAACATAGAGGGAAACCTCCATGACCAAGGATTTGGCAATGATTTCCTCTTTTTTGAAGCTGTATTATTTTATTATTAAGGAATCCACTTCTATGAGTGTCTTGAAGCCCAGACTGGGTTAACAGTGACGACTTCTGGAGGTAATGACACCCCACCCTGGACTTTCTGGTTATAACCACTGTCCTCTCTCTACCTCAGCTGAAAACCCAGACTTATGAGGCTTCAACCCCTACCCTCCTATTCCTAGAAGATGCCAAAGCCGACTATGTAGGAGGATTTTTCAGAGAAGAAGACAACTTTGTCTTTCCAGAAGACAAATCTGCTTCACTTTATGAGGCACATAGCAAGCCCAAACCACAGACAAGGTGGGACCTGTGCAGGCCTCAATGCCGTGATTCTTTAAAATGGCATCAAAAGCATAAAAGAAACAAGTAGATAAATTGGACTTCATCAAAATAAAAAACTTGTGCATCGAAGAACACTAATAAGATATTTTCATCTATGATGACTAATTTTTCCTTAATTTTCTTGACTATTGGAACTCTTCAAGGTAGAGAAATTGCCTTAAAAGTTAATCATAAATAATAAGAAATAAAGCCATGTTGACATTATTTTGGCATAATGTACAATTTGCATTTTAAAAATGTGTCTGAAAAGATTTGCAGTCATCGATATCTCAAGTCTGCAGTTAGACTTCTGAAAACTGACTGGCGTGTAATGTGGAAGGAAGGTGTGTGTCTTGGTACCTTTGGTTTGTAATTTCATCTAAGATTGAGGACTAAAACAATAGGAGAATCACTTGCCTGATTTGTACTAATGATAATAGCGACCGTTTGGATCACTAAAGGAAAAAGAAGTAACTTGTTCATGATGTAGCTGCATGCTCTGATTCCCCTTAAAAAAGGTGTAAAACAGTTGAAAAAAGGACACTCTTAAGAGAGTGAAAAGAAAACTGATAATATGGGAGAAAATATTTGCAAACTATGTATTTGATAAAAAATTAATATGCAGAATATATAAAGAATTCCTACAACTCAAGAACAAAAAAGCCGAATAACCCATTTCATAAACGGTCAAAGGACTTGAGTAATATACAAATGCTCAATAAGCACATGAAAAGATGCTCAATATCATTAGTCATTGGGGAAATGGAAGTCAAAACCCCAATGAGATATCACTTTGCTCCCACCAGGATGGCTATAATTTAAAAAATGGAAAATAACAAGTGTTAGTGAGCATGTGGAAAAATTAGAACTCTTGTATACTGGTTGTAGGAATGTAAAATGGTGCAGCCACTGTGGAAAACAGTTTGGTAGTTCTCAAAAATTAAACATAGAATTACCGTATGACCTAGCAATTCTGATCCCAGGTATATACCCAAAGGAACTGAAAACAGGCATTCAAATAGATAGTTGTGCAGCAATGTTTATTGCAGCGTTGTTCAAAATAGCAAAAAGGTGGAAACAACCCAAGTATTTGAAAATAGTGGTGATGGTTACACAACATTATGAAATGTACTTAATTTCACTGAATTGTGCACTTAAAAATGGTTAAAATGCGGCTGGCCCCGTGGCCTAGTGGTTAAGTTCACATGCTCCACTTCGAGGCCCAGGGTTTCGCTGGTTCAGATCCTGGGCGTGGACATGGCACCGCTCATCGGGCCATGTTGAGGTGGTGTCCCACATACCACAACTAGAAGGACCCACAACTAAAAAAATATTTCCAACTATATACTGGGGGTATTTTGGAAGAAAAAGCAGAAAGGAAAAAAGGAAGATTGGCAAAAGTTGTTAGCTCAGGTGCCAGTCTTTTTTTTTTTTTTTTTTTAAAGATTTTGCTTTTTCTTTTTCTTCCCACAGCCCCCCGTACATAGTTGTGTATTTTTAGTTGTGGGTCCTTCTAACTGTGGCATGTGGGATGCCGCCTCAGCATGGCTTGATGAGCGGAGCCATGTCCACGCCCAGGATTCAAACTGGCGAGCGTGCAAACTTAACCACTTGGCCATGGGGCCGGCCCCTTAGGTGCCAATCTTTGAAAAAAAAAAAAAGGTTAAAATGGTAAATTTAATGTTATGTATATTTTACCACAGTTTAAAAAAAGAGAAAGAGTCAAAGGGTAGAGAGGGCAAGTTATTAGTAAAAGTGATAGATCGTAAGATCCGGGAAAGTAAGTAAGCCTCAGGCAGGTTGGTAGGAAAAAAAGGGGAAGGAATGTTTGAGGGATTAAAGGTTGTGTGTGTTTGAAGGGAAGGCATTTGGGGAAGAGATTGAGTTACAACCACAGCACGCTGTCTTCACTGGTATACTGGAATGTTAGAATTTCAGTGGTAGGTTGTTTCCAGGTAGTAAAGTGGAGGCTGTAGCCATGGGTCTGCACTGCTTGAGAAAAGTGGGAAACGACGGTCTCAGGAATTGAGCTGGTTAAAATCACGCAGGAGAAGGCTGGAGATGCGGGTGAAAGCAAGCCTGAGCTGGACGTTGAAGCTTAGTAAATGTCACTGGTTAATTCATTCCCAGGAGCCTCAAAGGAAAAGGGACTTATTTTTGCTGTATTTTTTTAAGCTCTGTACTTTTACTGTAGTATTGACCCAGTTTGTTGAATCTCCTTTTATTGGACAATTATGGTAAACATAGTAGTTGCCACTGCCTGAGCCAATTCTAAAGCCGAGAGATGTGCGGTTAGGCTGAGGCAGCATTTCAGCTCTTCCGTAGGTACAGAGGCTTTATCTGATTGTGTATCTCAAGATAAGTACAGTGAAGGAGGAAAGCATCGGTGTCTTTGTCTTGCTTTTAAAGGTGTACAAGCAAGTCTTTAAAGGCCTTTTCATTCGTTTTGTTTTGTTTTTTGGAAGTGTACACATTGTCGTCCTTCAAAAAGAATATCTTTTTGGATAGAATCCAATCTAAAATTTCAAGCTATATGTCACATCATAATTGTTAGAATGTGTGTTCGGTTTATAAAATCAAAGAGAAGAAGTCATTCGGAAAGCCCCATCTAATTAAATCACATGTTGAAATTACAGTTTGGCCTCTAATTTTGTTTTCTCTTGTGACAGATCTTTTATATAATGTAGTCTCTAATTTATATTGAGTCTAAAATACTGTTTCATCTTTCTTAGGAAAACGGGAAATCATTTTCACAACTTCATTAGTTGGCAAGACCTAAGAGCTATTGAACTTGTAAAATCTTGGAATAGTTCTCTTATAATGAAGGTAATCCTTTTCTTATCTTCTGCAATTTGGATGTTACTGTTTTTTCTGTAAATGTCCCTTAACTGTAGGATTAATTGTATAATCTTCTACCTATGCTGTTTTAGGACATTGAGAAGAGAATACACACATACACACTTCCACACCAGTGAAATTTAGTAATAGTCACCCACAAGCATCTGTGGTAGACCGGATGCTTAGCACTTACACTTCAGGAAGTCCTGAGGAGGTTGGGGTGGATCAGATTTCACATGTTCATGGGAATTCATGTTTCCATTCCTGGAGAAATGGGAAAAATACAGACTGTGTCCAGAAATGATACAAAAATGTCCAAATTTCATTATCTTTTGTTGTAAAAGTGGAGAATGGCTATTAAGACAGATAACTAGCTGGCTGCCACAGCTCTTAACATGATGCCTGGCGTGTAGTAAGCAATGACAGTGGTGATGATGATGACAGTGAGGACAACAGCAGTAGCATCAGTATCGTCTCACTCCTAAGTGTGAGATTACTGAGTCAACGGGTAAGACAGTTTTCTAGCTCCTCCAATGTGGCCAGACCTGCAATATTTGATGTTATAATCAAGATTGCATATTGATTATTTTAATACTTCTAATGCCACACAGTTAAATGCCTTCCTAACTAGTGTGTCTGTACCAGATGGTGCATGGGGATTGTATAGAATGTGGTTTTACTTGGTAAGCATTTGGAGACATTAATTTTATATGAAAATAAACATAAATATATTGTAGAATATGACAGAAATGCATGAGTGAAACACTGTTGCCATAATCTCACCCACAAAGATTTTTCTATTAGTTTAACATATACAAATACAACTTACTAGGGGCTGGCCCCATGGTGTAGTGGTTAAGTTTGGTGTGCTCCACTTTGGTGGCCCAGGTTCACAAGTGTGGCTCCCAGACACAGACCTACAACACTTGTCAGCCATGTTGTGGCAGCAACCCACATATAAAGTGGAGAAAGTTTGGCACAGATATTAGCTCAGGGCTAATCTTCCTCAGGCGAAAAAAGAGGAAGACTGGCAACAGATATTAGCCCAGGACTAATCTTCCTCAGCAAACAAACAAAAAAAACCACCCTGGGGCCAGCCTGGTGGCATAGTGGTTAAGTTCATGCACTCTGCTTTGGTGGCCCAGGGTTTACAGGTTCGGGTCCTGGGCGCAGACCTAGTACCGCTTGTCAAGCCATGCTGTGGCATGAGATATTTAAGGCTTTTTGTCTTGAAAAGAAATTGTAACCATGAAAACATTTACTTCTGTAGTATAAGCCTCCAAGCTCAAATCATAACTCTAAACTGTGACTTCAAGCGCAAATCTGAGCACTTCAGGCACTTCTGTCTGCTTGGAATTGAACATGTGTGTGATCAAAGTTTGGGCTTAGCAGAAAACTATACACACAGACTCAGAGTTTAGCCCACACCGTTCCAGGGCCTGTCCTGCAGGGGAAGGACCCCTACCCCGCAGGCATTCCTTCCTAGTTGCTTATGGTTTATGGATCGAGGCTCTTGGAAATGTTTAGGCTGGGTGTGCCAGAGCTGGCACCGAGGTCATTAGTTTAGCCACGGCTAGCACCAGGCAAAATGGCGAAGTAACTGGGGTGTGTCGGCAGTCTCCTGGAACTGCTGTTTTCCTCCAGTCTCCCCAGGCACCCACTCCCTCTCGCTGTTGTTCTGCTTCTTGCCTAATGGTTGCTGAGCCTTTTCTGTGCTTTTGGCATAGGCTTCCTACTCCTTACCATCCATGGTTCGCCACCGTCCACACATCTGACCATTTCCCAGACCCCTTTCTCCCTGAAGCTGCTAAGGATTAGACTCCAGCTTTGCCATCCTGCTTTTGTCACTGTAGCACCCAGGCCCTTTCTCACCTTAAGGCCCTCATACTTGCAACGGGCTCTACCATCATGGCTGGATCCTTCTCATCCTTCAGGGCCCAGCTCACACGTCACCTCCTCTGTGGGAGCCCTTCCCTGCCATCCTATTTAAAATAGCCGCCCCCCATCCAATCTCTCATACTGTTCTTTATTTCTTTCTCAGCACTTAAAAAATTTCAAAGATTCTGAGACATACATTTTTTTTGTTTTTGTTGAGGAAGATTGTTGCCGAGCTAACATCTGTGCCAATCCTCCTCTATTTTGTATGTGGGACACCACCACAGTGTGGCTAGATGAGCGGTATGTAGGTCCGTACCTGGGATCTGAACTGGTGAACCCTGGGCCGCTGAAGTGTAGCATGTGAACTTAACCACTATGCCACTGGGCCGGCCCCCAAGACATACATTTTTTAAATTGCAATTTTAATTGAGGTAATTGTTGACTCACGTGCAGTTGTCAGAAATAATGCAGAGATCCCTTATATACTTCGCAGTTTCTCCCAATGGTAGCATTTTACAAATCTGTAGTGTAATGTTGCAACCAGGATACTGACATTAATACAGTCCATAGATCTTACTCAGATTTCCCCAGTTTTGTACTCATTTCTGTTTGTATGTATGTGTGTGGGCATCAGTTTCTATCCTGTTTTTTCATATGGTTGTGTATCCACCACCACAGTCAGTATGCTGAACCGTTCCTATCATGACAAGGATCCCTCATGTGCCTCTTCTATAACCACATCCATTTCTCTCCCCTGTTTCTCCCCACCCTCTCCCATCCCTGGCTTCTTGCAACCACTAATCTGTCCTCCATTAAGAATTTTTTATCATTTCAAAAATGATATATGCATGGAGTCATGCAGTATAGAAGCTTTTGGGATTTGCTTTTTTCAGTTAGTAGTATTTCCTGGAGAATCCGACTTGTTACGTGTATCAGTAGCGTGTTCCTTTTTATTGCAGCCATATTCGGTGGTACAGATGTACCACCTGTTGAAGGACATCTGTGCTAATGCCATTTGAGGCTGTTACAGATAAAGCTGTTCTGAACATTTGTGTACAGAATTTTGTGTGAACATAAGTTTTCCTTTCTTTGGGATAAATACCCCAAGAGTACAATGCTATATTTTTGCATGTAATTGCATGTTTTATTTTATAAGAAACTGCCAGAATTTTTTCCAGAGTGGTTGTACCCTTTACATTCCCGTCAGCACCATATGAATTATAAGATATACGTTTTTTCCAGTTTTAAAAAGCAATTTTTATTCAGGGTACTTTTTTGTTTTTTTAAGATTGGTACCTGAGCTGACATCCATTGCTAATGTTTTTTTTTTTCTCTTTTTCCCCAAAGCCTCTCAGTACATAGTTATATATTCTAGTTGTAGGTCCTTCTGCTTGTGCTATGTGGGATGCCGCCTCAGCATGGCTTGCTGAGCGGTGCTGGGTCTGTGCCCAGGATCCAAACCGGTGAAACCCTGGGCCGCCATAGTGGAGTGCATGAACTTAACCCCTCAGGCACGGGGCTGACCCCCAACCAGGATAGGTTTTTAACCATCAGTTTGTTATCATGTTAACCGTCAATTATATCTTAGCATTATGTCATAATTTAGCTGGTAGGATTTTTTTCTTTTTTGGTGGCACATTAAATAATGGCTCATTTTATAATCAGTGTCTTCTTAGATTATCTCATTTATTGATTTGATTACCTATTTGTCTGTCTCTTTCCACTAGAATGTAAGTTTCAAGAAGGGAGGGATTCTGCCTGTTTTGTTCACTGTTTTCTCAAGGCCTAGCACAGTCCTTGGTTCATAGAAGGTACTCAACAAATATTTGTTAAATATATGAACAAAAGTGTTAATTTTTCGTATGTTGACTAAAAGTGCAGATGTTAGAACTCTTAATACTTTGTGCCCCGCCGACTCCCTGCTGCCAAGGTATCTGTGTCTTAACAGAAGATCCCTGAGGGATCCTAAATCTGGTTTTTTATAGAGAAAGGTATAGTGTGCTTAGGGAGGAAGAACCATTTCAGTCTGAGGCATTTCTTAACATATAACACCTCAGAAGAAGGATTATTGGTGGTCACCTTAAATACTTGCCATAAGTTATGTTTTAATAAATAATGTGAAATATAAAGACATGCAGAAGATTTGACCACTGAAGAAGGTGAAAAGGAAGTTAAAAGGATAAAAAGTTTCAGTTATAAGATGAATAAGATCTGAGATTCTAATGTATAACCTGATGTGTAGTGATAACATTATCTTGTATAATTGAAATTGGCTAAGACAGTAGAATTTAAATGTTCTCACCAAAACAAAGTAAAAAAAATTAAAATGGGGCTCATTGTTCTAAAAAAAGGGCAAGACTGAAATATAGAGAGAACTGAGTATACACATTTTCCTGATTAATGCATTATGCAAAAAATGAAAGAAAAATTCATATTACTATTTTTACTAAATAAACCAAAGTGTTGAAATTTATTTTGGTGGGAGAGGTGGGGAATAAAAGAGAAAAAAATGCAATAAGTGGGTACAGTCTCTGTAAGTTGAATGTTTTGTAAAATATCAGTTTCAGAAGTTGAATTGTCCATCTGCATCCTCATACTAGGTGGCAGTAAGGGTTTTTGGTGTGTGGTTTTTTTAGTATGACTTCACAAACCTTAAAACTCAAACTGGTCTTCTGTGTAAGGCTGTTTTTTTTAACTAAGGATTTGGCTTACTGAGAATCCAAATTTAAAACTGTATATGTTTCATCTTTGGTCATTAGATATATGTATAGATAATATTAAAGAAAACCATACATCCCAAATTTTAAGTACTTAATGTGTAAGAAAATTTCCCTTCCAGGTTAATTCTAACTTGATTAAAAATATATTTCTAATAGAAATATAGCCTTCTTCCTTGAATCTTCCTTTGCTTTCATAGGTAAAGAGGTAGAAAATAGTTATTTTTGAAGACTTTATAAGTCTGTCAGCTTCTGGTGTTTGCTAGAGAAGTTCATAGTGCGTGTGTTACATTTCACGTGTTAGAATGAATACAGCTTGTCCACTTGGGGGGACGTGACTTTACCTGGTATTCTTTTTTTTCTTTTTTCTCCTCCCCAAAGCCCCAGTGCGTGGTTGTATATCCTAGTTGTAAGTTGTTCTAGTCGTTCTATGTGAGCTGCCATCACAGCGTGGAAACTGACATATGGGTGGTGTGTCCCGTGCATGGGAGGCAGACCCTGCCGCTGAAGTGGTGAGCACCCAACTATAACCACTGGGCCATCAGGGCCGGCTCTTTGCTTGGTATTCTCAGTGCTGAGAGCACTCTTAAGTTGTTAAATAACTTCTTTGTCATTGGGTTTATTTCCATATGTATGGAATTAATGTAGAAAGATCAAACACTATTAAATGCATTTTCTTAAAATATCTTTTTTTTTTGAAATAGCTAATACACAGTTCCTGCCGAGTGCTTCACTTTTTCACTAGGAGTAAACGGTATTTAGCGGCCAGTCTGTTCACTTTCACAACCCAGCAGGTTTCCTTGAGATTGGCCTGGGTTCTCCAGAACCTGAGTGAGGTAAGCAGAGAAAGAGAGAGGGAGAGGGTGTGTGTGTGTGTGTGTGTGTGTGTGTTTGTGTCTAGGCTAAGGGGAAGAAAAAAATTCAAGGAGTAAAGGTAGTAATTTGATTATTTGAGGGAAAATTAAGTAGTCACTACATAATGGAATGGAAGACAAGGAATCTTTACTTGAGTTTATTTTTTTAAAACCTTTGTGTTGTGAGTCGTAGCAAATATAGAAAAGTGAAGAAAACAAAAATGTACCACTCAGCGATATATTATGGAGCAAACATCTGTGTAACAGTACTTGAATCAAGAATCAGAACACTGATACTGCATATCCCATTTTCCTTCCACTTTTACAATTTATATGTTTATTCCTCAACACTATACTCTAGTTTTGCCTGAATGTTTTCGAACTTTGTATAGAGTCATACATGTTTATTCTTTTGTCTGACTCCTTTTGCTTATCATTATATTTGTGAAATATACCCACATTGTGTGTAAATTAATTTCCTTACATTTTCACTGCTTTTTAGTGTTCAGTATATGATTTTACCATAGTTTATACATTTATCCATTCTGTTCATGTACATTTGAGTTATTTCCAGTCTTGGGGTATTATGAATAATGCTGTCTCTTAATGTACATGTAAATGCGTTTTTCCTGTATCTGTACATGGGAATGGAATTTCTAGGGCGTGAATGTATATATGTATCTTTACCTTTAGTGGATAATGCCAAACACTTTCCCACAGTTTTTTGATAAATCACACATCTACCATTAGTGAATGGAAGAACTTTTTATTTTATTTACCATCATAATTGTTATTATCAGTCTTTTTTATTTTGGCCACTTTGCTGGGTAAATTAGGGATACCTTATTGTGATTTTGGACTGGATAGAAAAAATCAAGATACACTGTATACTTTCTATAGGAGACACACTTTAGGTTCAAAAATACAAATCAGTTGAAAGTAAATTGATGGAAAATATATATTATTCAAACAATAACCAGAAGAAGCTAAGTGGCTATGCTAATACTGGATAAAATGGACTTTAAAACAAAAAAATGTTACCAAAGAGGGGCATTTTATAGTGATGAGGAGGTCAATCCATCAGAAAAATCTAACAGTTTTAAACATATATGCACCTAATAACAGTGCTCCAAAATACATGAAGCAAAAACTGACAGAATTGAAGGAAATGATAGATAATTCAACAGTAATAGTTGGAGACTTCAATACCCTACTTTAAATAATGGATAGAACAGCTAGACAGGAGATCAACAAGGAAATAGAAAACTTGAACAACAGTATAAACTAACTAGGCCTAATAGACATTGATAAAAAACTCACAGCAGAATATACATTCTTCTTAAGTGCACATGGAACCTTCCCCAGGATAGTCCATATGCTACACCATAATTCAAGCTTCAGTAGATTTAAAAGGACTGAAATCGTATGGAGTCTTTCTCTGACCACAAAGGAATGAAATTAGAGATAAGTAGTGGAAAGAAATTGGAGAAAAATAAAAATATGTGGAAATTAAACAATGCACTTTTAAATGACCAATGGGTGAAAGAAGAAATCCCAAGAGAAACTAGAAAATACTTTGGGGTGAATGAAAATGAAAACACAGTATACCAAAACATGTGATGCAGCAAAGGCAATGTTTAGAGGGAGATTTATGGCAAGACTATATATTACAAATAGAGACTGTATTAAAAAATAATCTAACATTATACCTTAAGACACTGGAAAAAGATGAGCAAACTAAACCCAAACCGAGCAGAAGGAAAAAAATATAAAATTAGAGTGAAAAGTAATAAAACAGAGAATAGAAAAACAGTTGAAAAAATCAACAAAACCAAAAGTTGGTTTGAAAAGATTAGCTAGACTGACAAAGGAAAAAAAGAGAAGAGCCAAATAACTAAAATTATGAATGAAAGAGGGAACTTTAATTTTTTTTTCTTTTTTTGAGGAAGATTAGTCCTGAGCTAACATCTGCTTCCAGTCCTCCTCTTTTTGTGCTGAGGAAGACTGGCCCTGAGCTAACATCCATGCCCATCTTCCTCTACTTTATATGTGGGATGCCTGCCACAGCATGGCTTGACAAGTGGTGTGTAGGTCGCACCTGGGATCTGAACCAGCAAACCCTGGGCTGCCAATGGGGAACATGTGAACTTAACTGCTGCACCACCAGGCCAGCCCCTGAGGGAACTTCAATTTTGAACTCACAGAAATAAAATGCATCATTAGACAATACTGTGAACAAGTGTATGCCAACAAATTAGATAACTTAGGTAAAATGGAAAATTTCCTAGAAATAAATAAGCTACCGAAACTGATTCAAGAAGGTACAATCTGAATAAATCGTTTTTGTCCATTAAAAAAATGAGTGGATTTTAATTTTTAGATTTTAGAGCAGTTTTAGGTTTACAGAAACATTGAGCACAAAGTACATAGAGTTCCCACATACCCCCCAACACAGTTTCTCCTATTATTATCTTGCATTAATGTGTTACATTTGTTACAATTGATGAATCTGTATTGACACATTATAATTATATATTATTGATGTAATGTATCTATCATTATGGTATCATAGACAGTAGTTTCACTGCCCTAAAAATCCCCTCTGTTTCACTTATTTATCCCTCTCCCCTCATCCCTGAAACTCTGGCAACTACTAATGTTTTTACCATCTCTATGGTTTTGCCTTTTCCAGAATGTGATATAGTTGGAATCATACAATATGTAAACTTTTCAGACTGGCTTCTTTGACTTCAAATATATATTAAAGGTTTCTACATGTATTTTTCTGGCTTGATAGGTCATTTCTTTTTATCACTGATTAATATTTTATTGTCTGGATGTGTCACAGTTTGTTTATCCAGTTGCCTATTGAAGCACGTCTTGTTGCTTTCAATTTTTAGCAATTAGGAATAAAACTGTGATAAACATTTGTCTGCAAGTTTTTGTATGAACATAAACTTTCAACTCATTTGAGTAAATACCTGGGTGTGTAATTGCTGGGTCATATGGTACTATGTTTAGCTTTGTAAGAAACTGCCAAAACGTCTTCCAAAGTGGCTGTACCACTTTGCATCCCCACCAGCAATGAGTAAGAGCTCCTGTTGCTCCACATCCTCGCTGACATTTGATGTCGGCGTTCTGGGTTTTAGCTGTTCTAACAGGTTTGAAATAGTATCTCATTGGTTTAATTTTCAATTTCCTGATAACATATGATGTAAAAATATGACTTGACTTTTATTTTTTTTCTTTGCATTGACAAGCACCGCCAGGATATATTGACTAGGAGGGGTGACCACAAATATCTTTTTCTCATTCCTGATCTTGAAACAAAATCTTTCAACATTTTACCATTTAGTATGGATTTGTAGTAGGTTTTCTTTAGATATCCTTTATCAAATTAAGGAAATTCTCTTCTTTTTCTGGTTTGCTAAGACTTCTTATTGTGAGTGGATGTTGAATTTATCAAACATTTTCTGTACCTGTTGTCTAGGTGTAGCAACCTACTTGGGATTTGTAGGGTATCTTGTATTCATTGTTTGTTATCTTGTTAATTAAAAAAATTTCTCAGCCATTATTTTCAAATGTAATTTCTATTCCATTCTTCTTAGCTTCTTTTCTTCTGAAAATCCAATTATGTATGTGTTAGATCTTCTCACTAAATCCCCTTTGCCTCTTACTCTGTCTTACATATTTTTATTCTCTTGTCGCTGTGTACTTTATTCTGGGTGTTTTCTTCTAACCTATCTTCCAAATCTCTTATTCTCTCTTCACTTGTTTCCAATGTGCTATTAAAACTCATCCATTAAGTTCTTAATTAATTCTAGAATTTCTTTCTTCTCCCACGTAATTAGTATGGTGTTTTAAAATCCATGACTATTAATTCCAGTGTCTGCAGTGCTATGGACTGTTTCTTCCTCCTTTTTTTTTTATGTTCTTTTGTTTCCTCGTGTGCCAGGTTACTTAGAAAAAAATTTTTTAAGCCACTTTATTGAGATATGATTGACATACAACAAACTGTACATGTTTAATGTATACAACTTGTTTGGTGAGCCTGGTTACTTATTTGTGTGTGTGTGTGTGTGTGTGTGTATGTATGAACTAGACATTGTATTTGCAAAATTATGTGCAGAAATTATGAAAGCCTTCACATCTTGCTCTGGATAGGATTAATGTTTGTTTCTTCCATTCTTCCAGGCACCAGGATTATCTTGATCTAATTTAATGGTTGAGATGATTCAAAGCTGAGTTGCAGTTCCTGTGAGAGCCTGTCCTTCTAGTTTACTTGTATGCCTAGGATAGAGCCATTTGGAATTTTAACCCAGTGCAAGGAGGATTGCCCTTAGGTCCTTAGAATATCTACTCTGTGTCCCCTTAGCTTCACAGGGGCTTACTACTTGTCAGAATGCCTGGCTCTCATATATTTTTTGAATGAACAAATGAACTTACTCCCTCTCAGTTATTGTTGCTACTCACTGAAATACAGGTTAACCTTTGTCTAATCTGGAATGAATTTTAGAATCACAATTCCTAAATTTAAGAAGAGTTTGAAATCTAATAACATTACTTTAAGCATTCCATATTTAAGTGGTATAACACTTGAATAGAATCTTCAAAATACTTGTTATAGATAACCTACAAATAACCTCTTTTTTTGGAACTCATGTCATCTGTTTTCATTTTATTGATCCTTTCAGCTGTCAAAATATAATTCATCCTGGGGCTGGCCTGGTGGCACAGTGGTTAAGTTCACACATTCTGCTTCGGCAGCCCGAGATTCACTGGTTTGGATCCTGGGTGCAGCCATGGTACTGCTTGGCAAGCCATAATGTGTTAGGCGTCCCACATATAAAGTGGAGGAAGATGGGCATGGATGTTAGCTCAGGGCCAGTCTTCCTTAGCAAAAAGAGGAGGATTGGCAGCAGATGTTAACTCAGAGCTAATCTTCCTCAAAAAAAAAAAAAAAGTATATATATATATATATAATTCATCCTTAAATGTCTCCATTTACTATTCTTTTTATCTCAGTCATTTATTTAGCAAGCATTTTTTTTTTTTTTTTTTTAACATTTGCTATATGCCAGGAAACCTCCTAGGTGTTGGGGTTATAAACTTGAATGCAATCTATCCTTGTTCTTATGGAGCTTAGGGTCTGGGAGGGAGGTAATGAGGCTATGAGCTAAGGGCTGTATATGGAAGATATCCACAGGGTGCTGTGTTGGGCAAAGCCAGGAAATGCCAGTCTTGAAGGACAAATAGGAGTTGGAGAGGTGATAAAGTATGATTTAGGAAATCGTTTTCCAGTATGTTAATAATATCTTAAGTATTTCAGTTTCTCTATTAGCTAGTTTAAAGAGGTTTTGATACTTTTATTTGGCACGCTTTATGCTGAAGATTGGCAAGTTTTTTCTGTAACATGCCAGATAGTCATATTTTAGGCTTTGAAGGCCATAGGGTTTCTGTCACAACTCCTCTGCTGTCGTAGCCCGAAAGCAGCCATAGATGATACATCCACAAGTGAGCATGGCTGTGTTCCAGTAAAATTTTATTTAGGGACACAGAAATTTGAATTTCATGTACTGTGCGTGTGTCAAAAAAGTATTCTTTTTCTTTCAACTGTAAAAAAAATTAAAAACATTCTTAACTTGCTGTCCAGAAACAGGCAAAGGGCTGGATTTGAGAAGTGAGGCATAGTGTGCCATCCCTGTTTTAGGCTATTTATATTGACATATTTGTATGTCTAAACTGAAAAATATATGTACTTTGTTTTTTCATGTTTTATATCAAGTAACACATGTTGGGATGAAACTAAAGATTTTCATACCCTGTGATAATTGCTTAGAACCGTTTCGGGTATGGTCTAGAAATTGCTTCTCTGTGTATATGTTAATTTCTATCAAAATGGGATTGTGTTGTATTTATTGATTGGCAGTTAATCTTGCACTTAATAATTTAGCCTTTTTGAGTCGATTTTGTTGTGGTGTGTTTTTAAGGTTCAAAAGGCAGTTGAAGAAGACAATTGCTGCTTTGGGACTGTCGACACCTGGTTGTTACATAAGCTCACGAAAGGTAAGGATGCTCTGGTAGGTCTGTCTCAAGGAACTGAAACTTCACTGATAGAAATGATTCACCTAAAAAAAGGAGAAGTTACTCTTCTTTCCTTCCCAGATCCCAGACAGAGTGCTCTCTGGTGCGCTAGTAACTACGTGTTATGGTAAAGTTAGGTTAAGTTCAGATTTGTGGGAGGAGGAGGGTGATTTCAAAATTGCAGTGAAACAGTCTCAGTTTCAAGAGTGGTGAGACTTGGGTTCAATACCAAATCTGTGGCTCTGCACTTGGATGTAACTGCAGGCGATCACACTGCCTCTCTGCTCCCCTTTCCTCATCTTCAAACTGGGGGTCACGACACGACAGTGTCTATGAAAGCGCTCTGGTAAACCAGGAAAGTTCACGAGGATTAAGTGGGAAATTGCTTTGGAGACTTTGCACTAGAAATACACATTTTGGAATGAATTTGAGGGCAGACAAAGGTCTAGGTTATAAACTAGGGAGAAGTGTTGATTTATACTACCTGATAATGAATAGATTATTTCCAATGTAAATTTAGGTTCTGAATTCGCCACGGACTTTTCAAATGCCAGTACCACTGGACTTTTTGACCCATACGAGGTAAAGTTTCTTTTCCTTCTTTTTGAATCACCGTTTTTGTGTAATTTAGCTCGAATTCTGATGACGTATTTCTATGCTCAGATGTGTTGGAGTGGGCTCGTTACCTCTTTGCTTTCGATCCCGCTGTCGCTCCTGCCTCCAGTGAAGGATACGAGGTAATAATGAACGTTAGACGTGGGGACCAGCCACGTGGTCCCTGCATTTATGACATGTTTGAGGTGCTTGTATGTTCATTATGTAACGTTTTGGCCTATGTTGAAAACAATTTGCTGCATGTTAGAATTAATATTTCTAGAGCTATAACTTACTTGTTAATCAATTTTATTTGAAGCCACCATTTTGGATCAGTGGACGAAGAGATATTTGGTGTGCCTATACCAATAGTGGCCTTGGTAAGTAGAGAACTTGAGGGTTTCTCCTTGTGTAGGATAAACTAAATGATTATATATGAATAGTTGGAATTAGATTTAAGAGACACAAAGGGTCCTTGCAGAATAAAATTAAAGCATCATTTTTCCTTTTAAGTTAAAGGGTCCCAATATAATCAGAAGTACACTCTGTATTCTGGAAGAGCCAATGCTTAGTTTCTATTTGGTAGTGTAACCATAAACAGGAATAGGGAAGTTTAACATAAAGCAGAAAGTTGTATTTACGTTTTATAAAGTCCTTAGCTAGCATCTACCAGTAGAGAGGCTATGGAAGAGTGAAAAATGAGCTGTTTCTGTTTTTTTGAGGGTTCTTTCTTCGTTATGCCCTTTCTCTCTGGGTGTATGAGAGAGTCAGAATATGGAGAATCTGAAGGATTTACATCCTGATTGAGAGGCTGTGTAGAAACTCAGACCTTGCCTTTGATTTACATAACAGCTTGAGCAGGAGGTGTAGACTGTCTGTCCCTGGATGGACAGTCACAGTACGGGGAGGAATCCGGTGACGGAAGGGAGTTTAATTCCCAAGTTACAAAGTCCTGGTCATTTAGAGAGGATCAGCCTTATTCAGTCCAGGGATAGGCTCAGGTTTAGATTAAGGTATGGCTGGAAGAATTATAGATTAGTGAACAAGTATTCTTCAGAGGGGTTTGGTCCTTAAAATATTGCTGTATGTGTATCTACTTTTAATTATATTAACAAAATATTATAATTTTTCTAACAAAAATGTAGAGTTGGGAAATTCATGATTTTGACCTACATCTATTTGTAGTTAAACATACATCTATCACTCTTATTAAAAGAAATTTGTGTGTTCGGTTATTTTGACTAATGGATAAAACTGCTTGTAAGTTGAAGATGAAAAAATCTTTTTTTTTTTTCTCTGCATAGTATTTATTCTGACCTCTATTTCTAAGATTATTCCTATGATACTTAAGAGTCATGAAGTAGGTTGGCCACTAAAAATTGCTGAGCCGTGCGAGTTATCCACACAATGGTAGTTTTAGAGAGACTCCTGTCCTGTAGTTGTTGCTCCCTGTTCTCTCCAGGGATTTTCTTTTTTTTAAGGAAAAGGAAAAAGGAAAGAATGTCGACTATGAGAACACAGTAAGGGAGACAGTGGGATATGATGGGATGGGCCACTGCTAAGGGCACGGAGGTCTTACACGTGACCGTTTTGGCAGGTTGCTGACCAGCAGTCGGCCATGTTTGGAGAATGCTGCTTCCAGGTAGGAGATGTGAAATTAACCATGGGAACCGGGACGTTTTTGGATATTAATACTGGAAATAGCCCTCAACAGACTGTTGGAGGTAAGTAGTTAGAATTTGTCCTATTTATTAATAAAATATCACTTCTTTTCTTATTTAAATAAGTACTATTTTCCATTTTATATTAAGGATATTCTCTAACATATTTTTCATTGTTATTCTAAGAGATAATTAATTCTCATTTTCTTTTTTTCTTAAAATTAAAAGCATAAAAAAACGAGAAAGAGAAATTCAGAGGGATTAGGATATTTTGGTCAGCTTTCCAAATATTTACCTATAGTACCTGTCGTATTTGTTTAAAACATCTTTCTAAGCCTCTAAGTTTTCTTTTATGTATTAGAAATTCTTCTTTTCCTGAGTTTTTTTTTTTTAGTGTTAGTTCTCAACTAGTGACCCTTGCATATTTAGAGTTTTAATTACAGTTGCTAAGAATTGCTCTCCCTAATGGAGGACATCCTGGGATGTGCAAGCCGAGAAATCTAGATTGTGGAACTACACCCAGGAGGGCTGGGAGCTCTTAGTCTGAGCTCTGGTTCCCTAACATGTTCTAAGAGGTGGATTTTAAAATCTTTTTCCTACCTTCTGTCACCCCTTACACTCTTCTTTTCCCCCATCTGGGAAAATGGGAACTAGGAAATGTTGATCACTGCATTAGGTTATTTCTGTAGGAACTTGTTTAAAACCACAGATAAATGGAATAGCATAGTTAGTTCTCCAGCAGACAAATCTCGTTAATAACCTTTAATTTCTCAGTTAAAATCTTGTTTCTTTGTTTCTAGAGATGTAGCTATGGCTATGACTAATAAAAGCTAATATTTGTTCTTGGCGTACTGCGCTAAGTTCTTTTTGTGTGTTAACTCAGTTTATTCTCACAGGAGCTCTCTGAGGTAGACCATTTTACAGTCGAGGACACTGAGACAAAGAGGTTAGAACTTGTAAAGCCACAGCTAGTAAATGAGAGAGGACGGGGATTTGCTCTCAGGCTATCTGACTTCAGAGCCACTTTGCTGTTTTTTGGGATAGTCAGCTTGTTCCATTGTAGACATCTCTGTAATGAATTGTCTATTTATTGTATCACTTATATTGTTTGTTTGTTTTTAAGGCTTTTATCCATTAATTGGGTGGAAGATTGGGCAAGAAATTGTATGCTTAGCTGAAGGCAATGCAGGAGATGCTGGTACTGCCGTAAAATGGGCTCAACAATTAGGTAAGTGGTCTGTTAAACAGATTTCACAGGCCAGACTTAAAGAATTCAAATCAGTAGAGAACGAATGGATTGTTTAATTGGAACATAAAATAAAGTGACATTTCCTAGAAGAAAATATAGGATGTTATTTTTATGATATTGGGATGGTAAGAGGCTAGGCATTAAGGCCAGATACTGTAAAGAAGAAGAATAAATTTAAGTCTATAACATATTAGAATGTGTAGGGAGAGAGATGCCAAGCAAAGTTCAAGGACAAATTGGTAAGAACAATTGTAGCATATGTCAGAAAAATTAATAAAGATGACCAAAAAGTGGACAAAGGACAGAAGTATAGGTATTTCATAAATCAAATGGCTATTAAAAATGGTGTTCAAATTCAGTAATCAAAGAAATACATATTTAAAAATGATGTCACTATCATTTTCAGAGATAATTAGTTCAGTGATGCTCAGCATTGGTGGGGATGTAGAGAAAAAAGTATTCTTGTTTTCCGTTGGGACGAGTGTTAGTTGGTGCGGCCTTCTGGAGGACAGTCAGGCAATGTGTATCATTTTATAGAGTGCAGACCCTTTGCCCTCAGTTCAATTCTTTGTTTCCTAAGAAAATAATCATATAGGTGTGCAAAGACATGTACATACGTGAGTGTTTAATATAGCAATTGGGAATAAGTTCTCATCTAATAATAAAGCGTTAAGTAAGTGTCAGCATATCTATATAGTGCAACATTGTACAGTCCCAAATAATAAGGTGGTAGCATATCTTATTAATATGGAACATTGTGCTACACTAAGGAGGGGATGAAGCAGTGGCAGAATAGTCTATGTAAATATTTTTTTGTTTTTTTAAAAAATAGCTTTATTGAGATAGAATTCACATACCGTATAATTCACCCATTTAAATTCTACAATTCAGTGTTTTTTAGTATTTTCACAGGGGTGTGCTACCATAAACACAGTCTAATTTTAGAACATTTTTATTCCGCCAAAAGAAACCCTCAAACCCGGTGGCAGTGACTCCCTGTTCCATCCGCCAGCCCTAAGCTGCCATTCATTTACTTTCTGTTTCTAAGGATTTCCCTATTCTGGACATTTCATATGGAGGGAATCATACCATATGTGATCTTTTGTAACTGGCTTCTTTCACTCAGCATAATAGTTTCAAGGTTCACCCATGTTGTTGCATGGATCAATACTTCATTTCTTTCTGTTGCTAAATATTCCATTATATGGATGTACCACAATTTATTTATCTCTTCATCAGTTGATGGACATTTGGGTTGTTTCCAGTTTTTGGCTACTGTGAACAATGAACAGCCTGTGTATTATATAACCATATTTCATGCATAAGGCATAAAATATTATATGCCAAAGTATTAACAGTGATTCTTTTTTTTTTTTTTTTTTTTTAAGATTTTACTTCTTTCCTTTTTCTCTCAAAGCCACCCAGTACATAATTGTGTATTTTTCGTTATGGGTCCTTCTAGTTCTGGCATGTGGCACGCTGCCTCAGCATGGCTTGATGAGTGGTGCCATGTCCATGCCCAGGATTCGAACCGGGGAAACCCTGGGCCGCCAAACCCGAGCACATGAACTTAACTACTTGGCCATGGGGCCAGCCCCAACAGTGATTATTTCTGATGATTAAATTATGGAGCAGTCTCTGAATTTCTGCTTCACGCATTTGAACCAAGCTGATTTGTTTAAAGACAAAGATAATTCTATTGGCAGAAAACATGCACTCTAGGAGGAAAATGCCAATCATTTCTTCCTTTGTTCCTTTCTCTCTTTCTGTATAAGCCTGGACCTGTGTTATAAGTGTAAGAATACTTATTAACAAAAAAATGTTTATTTCAAAGCATTTTATCACTTAAAAATCTCTTCGTCCTTAGATGTACTTCTTTTAGTTTTGGGGGCATTTTTAGATAGTTTAGATAACTCCAGATTATCAGAAATAAAAAACATCAGTTACATATTTCTTTTATTTTAGTTATACCTTTTATTAATTTTACTCCTTCCCAGAAGATGCAAAGAAAAAGCAGAATAATTTGACATCAGTTAAAAAAACCAGTCATTCCCGAGTTCTGTGTGACATCATGTGACGTTGTCAGTGGGAATCCTTTCCGCTGCTTATCTGGGTTGAGGCTCATTCACTGTGGTTCTCAGATGATGAAAACTCTTTTCTGGGAGATGGGGCTAAATGGCCCTGACCTGGAAAATTGATGTGGTTTCCAGTAGAGACACAGGCTCCTCCTGAAGGCCAGTCTTGTTTCCAGCAGGAACCGGGACTATTGACCTAACTGGAGGAGGAGAGAATTCAGAGTTGAATTATTTACTTTAAAATTTCAATCATTGACAAAGCTAAATATTACTTGTATGTATATGTCTGAAATTCATACAAAAAGTTGACATTTATTTGAATATGTTTTTTTCTATTCTGAGAATTCACTTTAATGGGTATATTGAAAAAAATAAACAGACTAGATTCAGGAGAAACACAGTATCTAAGAGCCTGAGTCCCCGGCATTGCCTCGGATGTGTGTGCTGAGCCTGTGTATCTTTGGTGGTGTGCTGCGCTTGCTCCACTCGGAACGGCTTCCTTCCACCCTTTGCTGGTTGAACAGCTCAGGCTCAGGCTTAAAAACTGTCTTAAACCAGTTTCATCTTGATTTTTTAAAATTTATTTATTTTGGTGAGGAAGATTGTTGCTGAGCTAACATTTGTGCCAATCTCCCTCCACTTTATGTGGGACGCCACCACCGTGTGGCTTGATGCCACCGGGCCGCCCTGTTCATCTTGATTTTTAGATTGATTTTCTTAATCTTTTTCACACAGGCTGGTTCTCGCTCCCTTTTTTTTCCCCTTTCGCCTCCGATGCTAACTGCCACATTTGAGTCTCCACGTGATCATCTCTTTTCTTTTTAATTTGGTCCATTTCTGCTCTGCTTCAGTCTTTGTTCTACTTTGCTATCTCAATCTTACAAATATTTTTATGCCTTCCAGCTTGTGTTCAGTTAACAGTAATTGAGTGCTCACTACGTGCCTGGAACTGTACATGCTGAGAGGACACCAGTGAATAAGACAGATGCTCCCTGCCCTCACGGAGGTTACAGGGTAGCAGGAAAGACTTAGCTTAAATGAACAATTGAAAAAAAACATTAGCATGAAGTACCAGGAAGGAGAAGTAGTAGTGGGATCAGTGATGTCTGAAGGAAGAATGAGAGAGGTCGGGCAGGTGGGAGAGGCAGCTGGTCAGGGAGCATCCACGCAGAGAGGACCAGTGAGGAGGCCAGGAGTGGGGAGGAGCGTGGCCTGTTTAAGGGACTATTTATTTTCCACAACGGAGGCAGTTACCTCTGCTGTCCTCCAGTGACACGGGTCAGGGGACATCTTTTCCCTGGCAGTACCACTTTTAATTGCTACGTGTCACATCTGCTGGCTCCCAGCAATCCCCATAAGACTTCCAGTACACGTTTAAAATTACCCGGGCCTCTTGTTTACTAGAAATAAAGGAAACTTTTCCCTTCTCTCTGGAGAGGTCCAGTCTCCCTCATTAGAGGAGAGGAGATAAACCTCCTCTCATAAATGAATTAGTTGTAGGTGGTGGTGAATAGTTTCATGTTACTCCCAGTGAGTAGAGTCTTGGTTCGTGTCTGCCCCCCTCCTGCTTCCTGCTGGGAGGACACACAGTAGGGTGAGTGTGGCGCACTGCTGAAGCTGGAGTGGAGCCTTGAGTTTGCAAGTAGACTGTGCGGACCCAGGGTCCGTAGAGGATACCACCCGAGTGTTATTGGTGAGAATACTAGAGGCCGGTGAGGACCGTCTAGATGTTCACTGTGGATCCAGCCTGCTGAGCCAAGAGAAAATCCCCTCGGCATGTGGAGAAGGGAGCTGGCCTGGCGCGTCCCTGGGAGAGCCCCCTGACAGCAGACGGCTGTACTGTGTGGTCTGAACTGCTCCTCCTCCAGGCTGAGGGGGGAGGCCGACTCTTTCTCATACCTGGGGAAACCCGAGGGCCTGGGGCGTTGATCCCTTGCCTCTCACTCCCTGCCAGCCCCGTAAGCCTGACGTGAAAGAGAGCTCAAGTGTTTAAGGGCACACAGCACCTGGAAGGAGGGTGGCCAAGCTCAGTGAAGCGCAGCACGCGGCTCCTGCGGAGGCAGGTGTAATGGGAGAAACAAGATTAAAGTAATATCAACAAAAGTGAAACTGAAAGGGATAAAAAAATATGGCAAAGAAGTATTTGGAAAACATAGGAATTTCGAAGGACAAAAACCGTGATATACAAAATGTAAAAAAATTAATAAAATGTAAAATAGACAGTGCTGAAAACCCAAATAGGAATCAGGAAGCATTTAAAAACAAAAAGGAAAAAATAGAAAATAAAACAGAAGGGCAAGAGATATAGAGGAAAGATCAGAGGAAAAAATATGTGCACAATAGTCGCTTTTTTCGAATATGAAAATGTAATTATGGAAATGGAAATAGGATTATGAAAATATAAAAATTGAAGAGTGAATTGAAAATAAACTTTCCTGAGCAGAAGAAGGACTTGAGTTTTCAGACTGAAAGGACTTACCAAGTTGGAAAAAAAAAACACGAACTAAGACAGTCGTGTGTAGATGAATTGTCTGAATCCCAAGAATAAAGAAAAACTTCCGACAGGAGGAACAGCTTGTTTATAAAGAAAAAAGACTCAGACTGGCATGGAAATTACTTATAAAATTTGGAAAGTGGAATAACATTTACGCGTTACAGAGTGAAAAGAAGAATGAGCCCATATTCTGGTGCCTGGCTGAGATATCATTTATATTAAGTGTGAAAAGGGCATTTCTTGGCCAGGCAGTATATACTTTCTGAGAAAGTTATCTGAGGAGATACTCCAGCCAAAAGGAAATAGTCAGAACAAAGATCTCAACATGGGAGAGAAAGCAAAGTATACATAAAAGGTGTTTTTTAAATAAAGAGATGTTTTTTCCTGGTAGCAGGTCAGACTTCTTTTTA